TAAATCATTATTTTGAATCTCAAATTGTCCAAGTTAGACAGTTTGTGAACAAACTTATTCATTAATTTGTTAGCATTTGCTTCTGATAATGTTGTATTTAATACTTAACAAAATTTGAGTTTAAAACATTTCTCATTGTCTCTTGGTGTATGCTTGATTGAGGTAAATCATCTCATATATTTCAAGTTATGTACTAGGAGACTAATGCGAAATGCTGCCCAAATTTTGTCAAGTAAAATATACAACATTTAAGTGGCATTTGTTAATTAAGGTTGGAAAAAGTTTGTTCTCAAATGGGATAAGGCCCTACCTTGTGAGAGTTAATAAGACATTCACATTTATAATGATCGTAACCGTAGTTGGAGCAATATGGATCGAAGTTAGATGGTAGCTGATTGTTTAAGTGAAGAATACGAAGACAGAGTCAAATAGTTTATTAGATTTGCGATTAAGAATGCAACTGATGTCAACCTTATTCCTTGTCCTTGTTGGTGTTGTTTGAATATGTTACAAGTAAATGCAGAAAAATTGGAAGAACATCTAATGTGCAATGGGATAGATGAAAAATATGCTTGTTGGACAAAGCATGGTGAGATACAAGGTGGAAGTACATCAACTAACATTGAATCAAGTGTCAATTACTCAGAGACATTTAGAACAAATGAGAGTGATCATGCTGAACAAATTCCAAATGTTGTTGAAGAAGATCATAGAGATTGTCCAAAGATGTTTGAGAGGCTGAAAGTAGAAACACCATTGTATAATCGATGTACAAAGTTCACAAGATTGAGTTCTGTTTTAAAGCTTTATAACTTAAAAGCGTTGAATGGATGGACTGATAAGAGCTTCACAAAGCTGCTAAGTTTATTACATGAGATGCTACTGGAGGATAATGTGCTACCGAAGAGAACATATGAGGCTAAACAAGTATTTGCTTCCATTGGATTGACCCATGAAAAGATACATGCTTGTCCTAATGATTGCATTTTGTTCCGAAATGAGTATGCATCACTAAGGAGATGTCCAAAGTGTAATGTATCACAATACCTAAAGAAAGACACAACACCTGTGAAGGTTGTGTGGTATTTTTGACTAATACCGAGGTTAAGACGTCTTTTTCGCAGTCCTGATAATGCAAAGCAGATGACTTGGCATGCTGAAGGCCGAATTAGAGATGAAAAACTTAGGCATCCAGCAGATTCTCCACAGTGAAAAAAATTTGACGATGACCATGAAGAGTTTGCAACTGAAACAAGGAATATACGTTTTGCATTAGCAACCAATGGAATGAATCCACATGGCATGCAAAGTAGCATCCATAGTACGTGGCCTGTGATTTTAATAATGTATAACTTACCTCCATGGCTTTGCATGAAGCGAAAATATATGATGCTTTCGTTGTTAATCTCTGGTCCTAAACAACCTGGAAATGACATTGATGTGTACTTGTCTCCTTTAATTGAAGATTTGAAGTTGTTGTGGGATAATGGCATAGAAGTATATGATAGATTTAGAGATGAAAATTTTACTGTGAAGGCAATGTTGTACGGAACAATTAATGACTTTCCTACATATAGAAATCTTTTTGGTTACAGCATCAAAGGTCAATGTGCATGTCCAATGTCAGGAAAAAAATAGATTATATAAGACTAGATCATTGTCACAAAAATGTTTTCATGGGGCATCGTAGGTGGTTGTCAAAAAATCATCCTTTTAGAAAAATGAAAAAAAGCTTTTAATGGAAGTTGCGAAGTACAACGATGTCCTTATTTGAAGAGTGGATCAGAAATATTTGATGAGGTTAAACACATAAGAACAACATTTGGAAAACCTTTTGCCAAACAAATTCCAACCGCAAGTTGGAAGATGTCAATTTTCTTTCAGTTACCGTACTGGGAATCTTTATACGTAAGACACTTTGTTGATGTTATACATGTTGAAAAAAATGTTTGTGAAAGTGTGATTGGTACGTTATTAAACATCGTGGGAAAAAAGAAAGATGGCATCAATGCAAGACTTGACTTGGTGAAGTTGGGAATACGATCCGATTTGGCTCCGGTGAAGAAGGGAAAACAGACCTCTTTACCTCCAATAGCATGTACCCTGTCTAGAAATGAGAAACGTGCTTTATGTGAGACTCTTTATTCAGTCAAGGTTCCAGAGAGATATTCATCAAACATTAAAAGTCTTGTATCACTTAAGGACCTAAAGTTAAAAGGATTGAAGTCTCATGATTGCCATATATTAATAGAGAATTTAATTCCTGTTGCTATACGGTCTATTCTACCCAAAAAGGTTCGCATGACAATCACGAAGTTGTGTTTCTTTTTCAAGGCAATATGTAGCAAAGTGATTGATCTTGGGAGATTACCAAGTTTGCAAAACCAAATAGCTGAAACTTTATGTGAGCTGGAAATGTATTTTTTACCGTCATTCTTTGATATCATGATTCATTTGACTATTTACTTGGTTGAAGAGACAAAATTGTGTGGCCATGCATATATGCGATGGATATATCCCGTTAAAAGATATATGAAGATTTTAAAAGGGTATGTTAAGAATAGAAGCAGACCAGAGGGTTGTATTGTTGAACAATATTTAGTGGAAGAAGCAGTGGAATTTTGTTCTGAATATCTGTCAAATGTTGAATCATGTGGCATTACAAAATCACGTCACCATGGAAGGACTTTAGGGGAAGGTAGCAGTGGTTGTCAACAAATAGAGGTCCCTAGACTGCAATGGGAACAAGCACACTTGTATGTATTACAAAACACCCCTAAAATTGAATCATACATAAGCTTGCACAAAGAGACACTGAAGCGTAGAAATCCTACCAGAGGTGAGAATTGGATAACAAAAGAACATAATGTGTGATTTATTGGATGGCTACAAGAACATATTGGTGAACAGTTGAAACAGAGGAACACATCGATTTCATAATTGATTCGATGGTTGTCAAAAGGTCCTTGTATTGATGCCTTCTCATACACTTCATACTTAGTAAATGGGTTCACATTTTACACAAAACAGCATGACAACTAAAGCACAATGCAGAATAGTGGGGTCACTCTGGTTGCTGAATCATTGCATATCTCTAGTGCAAAGGATAAAAATCCAATATATGCAAATATGTCATACTTTGGATTCATTGAACATATATGGGAGTTGGATTACACTAACTTTCGTGTAGCAATCTTTGGATGCAAGTGGATAGACAACAACAGTGGTGTTCTCATTGACGATATGGGCTTTATAACGGTGAATTTTAAAAAGGTTAGTTACCAAGATGATTCGTTTTTCCTTGCATTATAGGCTTGACAGGTGTTCTACATTGTAGATCCTGTAGACAAGTCATGGTCAATTGTCCTAATGTCTAATAAAGTAAATGCTTTCACCGATGGAGAATTAACAGAAGAAGAAGTTAATGTCGAGGACGATCCTTTGAGGAGTGTTGAACACATGTCAATTGCAGATACATTAACAGATGACGAGGATATTTATGCAAGACATGATCATGAAGAGGGCATTTGGTTAAATCCGTCATTTCATTCAATAAAAGGTCTTATGAAACCTTGTAAGGCTCCTAAAAAAAGAAAAAGGTGCATCTATTATTTTATTTGAATTGATTATATTTTGTTTTTATTATTTTACTTTATCCCTAAATGTAATAATTTATATCTAACCTTTACCTTTTTTGTTACGGAGATGACTTCTTCAGATAACATGGACGGGAGTCTCCCTCATCACTCCGCTGGGGCAAATAAGAAAAAAGGGTAGATAGATTACCAAACTAAAGTCCATTAGCAAATCAAGAAAGTTAGGACAAAAGCTACAGGTAAATTGTCACCATCAATGAATTTTGTAATGATATTGTAGGAATCTTTTATGCTAATATCATCAAACACTAATTTGACTTTATGGTTTATATTTGCATATAGGTTGGCTGGAATGGAAAGGGTCAACCGATAGACCCTAACAGATCAAAGTTTGCACATTTTATTGGCTTTGTTACTAGGAGTACAGTGCCAATCAGTTATTCTGATTGGACAAATGTCCTTACAAATGTTAAAGACCATATTTAGGAGCAAGTTGAGGTACACAAGATGAATTGTTTCAGTTATTGCATATTGGTTTACCGAAGAGGGCATATCTGATATTGTTTTTTGTTTCCAATGTAGCAAACTTTTGAGGTGGCTCCTGTTCACAAAGATTTTGTTCTGTCTTTAGCTGGACGGGACCTTTGTGCATTCTGAACACGTTTGAGAAAACATATTTATGACAAAGATGGAAATTGTGTCCCCCATCCTCCGGAGAAGTATCAGAGATTCATCACAGTCACTGATCACTGGATGGACTTTGTCAACCAAAGCTGCACAGAGACTTTCAAGGTACCATGCCACACATTATTACTTCAAATTACTATCACCATCACAATTTGTATTAATTTGGTACGTTTCTGAATGCCTAATTTCAGAAAGAAAGTGAGGCTAATGCACAAAGGGCGAAAGGAATGTCGTACAGATACAGGAGGTCAGCTAAGGGATATGCTCAATTAGAGCAAGACTTGGTATGTATATTTGTGTCTTATGTAACAATGTGATGCTAATATGTTGTCTTATGTTAAACCTATTAACGAGGGATTTTAATGGGTCTAATTTTGTGTAGATTGCTACATCTGGGTCTAATTTGACTACCTCAACATGTCCTTTGGAAAGCTGCTAGGGTAAATAAAGAAGGTAGCATTGATGATGAAGGAGTTAAAAAAATGGTCAATGAATTTGTAAGTAGTAAATACGAATGTGTTAGTATTTTCAAATATGTTAAGTTTAATTTTGAATTCTCCTACAATGACTTAATGGTTAATTGTTATCTTTATTGTAGGAAACCCTTTCACAAGTCACTCTAGGTGTTGAGACTGAATCAATAGCCCGAAATGACATATTCTTTCAAGCACTTGGTGCAAGAGAGCATCCAGGTCGCGTTCGAGCTGTAGGCAAAACATGAAGCATTGGGTAGCACATTTGACCAATGTAGTGACACAGTTGACAGGGGGTCAGGGACTACCCCCATTCATGTCAGGTCAGATGCCATTTAACCCTACTCAGTCCCCACCACCATGTATGCCACCCCCTTTCAATATGGCTCCTCAAATGCAACTGATGGCAAATATTGGTCCCCAAACACCTGTAGATGCACCTTCTACCAGCCATAGAGGCAGTTGCACACCAATTGCATCTGTTAAGATTCCAGAGGTATTGACGCTACAGTAAATCATCATTTACCTTGTAATGTTTAATATTTTTGATTTACTTATTGCATAATATAACAAACCTTCATTTGTAGGGTGAACATGATTGTATGCTATACTTGAACAAACCTTTTCGCCTAGTTGCAAGAGGTAGAGTATATCATACAGTGGCTAGGGACTCCTTACATAATATGGCTCTTCCTCCAGAGCATGGTAAGGTTTTTATAGAGGTAGTGCAACGACATGAGGAGGACTCTGCACTGCCTATCCCAAATGAAGAAGCAAACCTGTATTCCCTGAGAGATGCCATTGGTACTTATGTTGCTTGGCCATTGTCCTTAATCACTTTAAGACCCAAGGTATGTAAACTTGTTTCTTTATAGTTCCTGTTGCTAGATGTTACAATTAAAAGGGTTTGTTCTTTTCAGGTTGCCCCTTCATCAGGTAAAGGGTTAGGGAAAGAGACAGGCTACTCAAAAGAGTCCATTGCTGGTCTATCCAATCAAGGTGCTGCATGCTTGGATATGATGAAGCTGTTTGTGAGAAGTGATCAAGCCATTGATACAGCTACATTTCAACTGACAAGTGAGCACTGGGGTAAAGAGTTTTGTGACATTGTGGGGAAGGAAAACATCATATAGGTCATACGTCGATATTGGTTGAGTGCCTCTAGCATTAACCTTTACATACGGTACATTAAATTTCAAATTATATAGTCAATTTATAACTTTTAACGCCTCATTCATACCACTAATGTTCAATTCTACTTGTGCAAAACAAGATATTTGTGTGAAGCTTATTTGCGTGGGACAATGACAAATAGATTCTCATTTATATCTTCGTATGAAATGGATGAAGCGCTCAATCCGAACCCACATCAACATATAGTTGAAATGTTGAAGCGTCATATGGGTGAAGATCAATTGATTTTTGCACCTTATAATGTTGGGTAAGTCAATTGATCTCATTGAGACTCTGCTTTATGTTTTATAATTTACCATATAACTTAGTAATCTTAAAATGATATTTATGCTCGTGGTAGGCAACATTGGGTCTTGGTTTCCATCAATACTGCTGACGAGACTATCTATTACATGGACCCTCTACGCAAGCAGCTGAAGATCAGAACACACATGCAAAACCTATTTAATAAGTAAGCATTCATTTATGTCAATACACTAAGATTAATGTTAAGTGGTTCAAATGTATCTAATTTCTTTGGTTCACGTACGACTCTTAATGCTCTTGTCACGTATCGAGCAGAGAGGGGAGTGCAGCCCTCTAGTACAAAGATGAGTCAAACAAAATGGGTCACTGTACAGGTAATACTATATCATATCTCATGTTTTTAATTTTCAGCTAAATTGTAATTGAACTGTATATCATTCTTAGTTAATGCTATTTTATTTGACTTTTATCTTCCATAGTGTCCCAAGCAAACAAATAATAACGAATGTGGATATTATGTGTGTCTATTCATTGGGGATGTTTTGCACCATGGACAAACTGTAATCCCAGTAAATGTAATAATCTTGCACTTTCAAATTCGTTTGCCATATGCTTATTATTTCACTTAATTAAATAAGCTTTGTTTTCCCTATCCTTGTATTTCAGTACTTTCCAGAGGTGCAGATTCCAACTTTTCCTGACAACAAAATTTATCAATTTCAAAAGGAGTGGTGTGCATATCTGTACCATAGATATTTAAAGGACACATTAAGCACAATAGATTATTAGTGTTCTTTTACAATATTTAAACAATTTTCTTTCAACCCTAGGAAAAATGTGTAAATATGAGACTCTGATTTGATTGTAATCTGTACATGTGAGTTGTAATTCAATAATATAGCTCTGAAATTCTGCTATATCAGACTCTATTTGAGAATTATATTCTGTTTCAATTGGTTTTGAATTCTGTTTCAATTGGTTCTGAATACTGTATAATACCAGGTATGCTATAAAAAATTGTTTTATGCCAGTTTTATTAAAATATTACAAAATTTTTCTTAACTTTGGAGAGCGATTCTAGAAGAACTGCTCTCCAAAGTGCACTTCTGAGAGTGGTTACACGCATAACCGCTCTCTAAAGTGAACTTCTAAGAGCGGTTCAAATAATAACCGCTCTCAGAAGTTCACTTGGAGAGCGATTAATATTGAACCGCTCTCAGAAGTCACTAAAGAGAGCGGTTATGCGTGCAACCGCTCTTACAAATTATAGTCTTTGGAGAGCGGTTCTAATTTAACTGCTCTCCAAAATACTATCATTTGCAAGAGCGATTACGCGCTTAACCGCTCTCTTTAGTGAACTTCTTAGAGCAGTTAACCGCCAAGCCGCTCTCCAAAATGTACATTTCAGAGCAGTTAAATAACTGCTCTGTAAAAATGACGACATTGGATAGCACGTGATTTTAAAGCACCACTAACCGCTCTCTTTGTTCAAGCGGAACCGCTCTTGGATCTCATTTTTGGTGTAGTGGTAGAATAACACCCAAGTATCAAGCAACATGAACTGTTTAACATAGGTCGTGAAAATAATTTTTGTGACGTCCTTTTTTTGTACAAAATCCACAGTATCCTGAATTACTGCTTTTAATTCAAATCCACCTATTAGAGATAGTATAACCTATAATGTGTTTACAACTTTATCATTTAAATCATCAAGATAATAAAATCTAAAGGACACTTTTATATAATTTAGAAAATTATACCAATATGTATGTTTACAACTATGGTCCATATGGAATTTGAAATACAAACCCTTTACATAATAATAATTACATCTTCTCAATTGTAACTAAATGTTCTAGATCTATTATCTATCCTAGACTGACAAAGCATTCTAAAGTTACAATCTTCTCCAAAATATGACCTCCCAGCTTGAGAAGTAGCTATAGTACCTGTTCTCTCTACTTATGTACCATAGTATTGCAAAACATACACGACACAAATCAAACGCAAGGGTGAGCTTATGAAACATATTGATAATCATTAAGTTTTGCATATATAACTGTTGATTATTTATGATTTAATCTTCTAGATCTGGATTTTATGTTACCTTTACTTTTCTGTATCTGTATAGTTCTTTATTTCATGAAATACTTTTACTGGAAGTACAGCAGTTCTTAGTTCTTTTGAATGGAGCTGCAGCAGTAAGACCCGTGTGGATGAAGGGCAGTAAGGCTGATTCGTCGATGTTGTATTCAAAAGAAATTAAGAACATAAGAAACTGGTGGCTATAGTAAAAGAATTTATGTGTTTGTAATTAAAAAAAAAATTATCAGATCTAATTGAGAAAATTATAAATGATTAACTGATATATTTCTATGGAACCAAATGAAGGTAATGAACCAGATTTATTTTATGATATCTCGTCTCCTTTGCTCTTTTTCTCGTATTTTCTTCCAAACCGGTTCTAGCTCCTCCTCCTCTCCAACTAAAAACACACTCTTCAATGATCAGGAGAAACAGTCTCTTGAAATTACACTCAAACACAATCTCTTTGACAAAGAAGTTCGTTTTGAAGAGATCAATCAAAGCATGGACGACTGGAACATTCCAGAAATCCCTTAGGATACTTTATACGTTCTTGAAGAACATTCCAAGAAAAATAGTTTCGATTACATAATTAAAACTGTTGAAAACAATATCCCTTTAGGAAAAGACATAGGAGAAGAATTTCATCTCCTAACCAAATTCTCCATCAATGACCATAAAAGAAAATATAAATACCTTCATATAGGATGTGTCCAAGTAGCTATCAAACCTTTGATAGATATGGGTATAGATGCAGCCGTCTTAATGTGTTTTAGAGACATTAGACACAGTAAATTTGAAGATTCTCTCATAGGAATAATTGACACCACTCTAGGTCAAGGACCAATCTATTTCAACTGTTTTCCTAACAAAACGGTAAGTCTTATGGATGTTCACATCCTAGACTCCCTTTTCCTCAACATTTGCTTTCATAGTTTAGACATGAAAGAGGGATTTATTCCCGCAGCTCTAATCTATAGGATTCAATACAAAGTCATGAATTCATGCGCTTCCAGAGTCCTCCTTAAACCACAGAAAAATGAGACTACTTTGTTTATTACTGATATGACAAAGGCTAATGTCTCTTTACCAAGAATCACCAAATGGGATAAGGTTACTCTCCCTGAGAAGTGGGTTATGGATAAGGTTGTACCTTGCGTTCCTAAATCTGCTCCTTAAATCCAGGACATTTCTCAGTCTAATTCTGGAAAGGTCAAAATAACTTTTGATAGGAGAAACTCTTTCTCCTCTAGGATTGATGCTTACAGCAATCGATCTGATTTTGTTTCTGCGATGAGATCTTTCTCTTCCAGATCTCAAACGTTTAGATATGAAATTCCCAGGTCTATTAATCATGATCCTTCCATAAACCTACAAGGTTTAGATACTTCTTCTAGAATTCCTAGAAATGTTTATCAATCTACTGACAAAGAAGAAGAAGAAAATCAGAGTATCCAATCTTCAACTTATTCCTCCCTTAATGATTCTTATAATATTGTCTCATAAATTCATTATAGATAAGGAATCCCTTAGAAAAGATTTCTACTCTGAGGATTGGAAACCTCAAAGAGAGTGGTTCTTTTAGAATTACAAGGGAAAAGATAGATCTGATATCCAAGAAAAGTTTTATAAATTTCTCGAAAACGTTAATCAAAATATTCTATTTTTTGATTGGTTTCATGCTTACACCATTCAAAATAATATTGATTATCCCTGGCAAGAGGATGTTATTACTATTTCCTCTACTAATGTCATTTCCTGGCAGATTAAAGATGGACAAATAGTCCATAGTGACCTGCCACCTTCAACTCAATATCAGTTGCCAAATCTTAAAGACAACAATGGTAATCATGTTATTGCTACCCCCTTCAAAACTAAAAATCCTGATGAGTCTATTACTCCTAGTGATATCCAAGGTCTAATGGAACAGGCCAATTATACCAATAAATACTTGCAGGTGTTAGGAAATAAAATCTCTGCTAGTTCTACTAAACCTAAAGAAGAAGAAACATCATCTTCTTCTCAGACTCCTTTAGAAAAACCTCTCTTCTAACCTTTTAAGATTAATGCAAAAGCTAAACAAAAAATCTTAGAGCTTAGGCAAAGAGAAAAATCCAAAGCTCTTGAGGACAATCAAAATGAGCTTATCAATAAGATTAATAGTATGCTTACTACTGTCCCTGATACACCTCAGACCTCTGAAGAATCTAGTACTAGAATTGAAACTAGATCTCTTACCAAAACTGTCAATACCATTTCTAAAGCTGATTCAGAACAAGATTCTGAAACAAATTCTGTCTTGGCGATCAATCCAGTTTATACCAATAGTAAAAATTGGAATAACCCTTCCAAACTCTATTATAATAGAGCTACTGCTCCAGATTTAGTTTTAGAAGAAAGTCTTGATCATCCCATTCAAAATTTTAATGCTAATGAAATCTATATGTGGAATATTGACAGTCTTTCTGAGTACAACATAATTTCTAAACTCAAACACATGGCTGTTGTAGCAATGGGTTACTTCACTAATAATAACTATGATGAAGAAACCATTGTTTATATTGTTGTAGTTGGTTTTATGGGTCATCTTAGGGGTTGGTGGGATAAT